ATCTCCACTCATTATCCTAGCGACACATTTACAACGACAAAATGTTGCCGTTACCACGTTTGCAGTGTCTCTACTATCACAATATGAAGTAAAGTAACTAAATAACTCCGTAGATACTATGTAAATGACTGAAATCGTTCATTTAGCTACTCGTTAAGCTCACAAATTGCGGTAATAAAGCAGTAGCGAAAATGAGCCGCTAACATAAATCACGCAAACGAAGTGATCTGCTGAAACCGAAACCTATCGCATAAAACAACAAACTCATTCGTACTCATCATCGCCATCATCATCACATCCTAGCCATTATCATAAAATCATTCCGAAACACCCATCCAACAAACCAAATCGTTCAGCACAATCAATCCTTCAGTACTATACAACGCTTCCAAAAAAACTCCAAATAAACTTTCTCCTCGCTATTCCCACCATTAATTTTTTTCATTCACAAAGAAAAACAATCAAGATAACATTCTAAATTAGCAATAAATTCACTAATAAAATCCAAAAAAAATCACAAATCTAAATGACTGCAATAAAAAACCACACACACAAACTAGTGCAGTGCCATTCTCCTGCAAGTTGAAAAAGTGGAAAAACTTTTTCAAAAGACAAAAAACTCCTTTTCAAAATCGATAAATCACCCTAATCTATCTTCGGTTCTTACCCCCTGCAGCCAACCATCCTCACTGAAACGCACTAAAACTGTACTTCTTCTGAATTTATGAATTCTCTTAAACTTTTCTCCGTTTTAAAATGTTCAACCACAACAACTAATTACATTAATTAAAATGAACTCGCCAAGGTTATAACCACCTAAACTTTCACTATACAATACACGAATCATACAGTTATACACATCACAATTAAGAAATCAGTTGAAAATTTCTCAGAATTGCCTCCTATAAACTCCCTAGACATACAACATGACCCAAAAATTTACCATATTCTAACAGCTCGTCAAGGTCAGTTCCGTTCATGTGTTTTACAAATTGAAGTAATTAATTTTAAAAAATCACCAGACAGTACACAATAACAGTTTGCACTAAATACAATCGCACAATTCTCAAAAACCACAATCGCACAAATCTTCGAAACCTGACGAATAACACCGCAAAAACCAACCACGTATGCGATAAATTTGCATAAACACCATTCAAACAAAACAACAATCAAAATATATTCTTCACTAACCAACCACGCGATCAAGACATTCATTCAACACTAACACAAAATATAATCTGTGAATCACCTGCGATTACATTAACTGTCAGATTCCAACGCTATCATAGTTATCTGCGCGGAAAGAATTCCAAGCAAGAAATAATGTGATATCAGTGATATTGGTAATAACAGAGGAGCCTAAACTCAAAATGAATTGCAACTGCTCATTAAGGAAATAAATAAGTTAATACAATTGTCTCGGAAGACAACTCAGAAGACCTCCAATAAGATGGAAAGACGACATTACAAAGAAACTGGCTAACACCTGGCAAAGGAAAGCAAGATCAAGAACCAAATGGAAACGCATTGTGGCCAGCAACGTTACAAACGTTTGATAGCCAAAGCCAATCCAGGTAATCCAGGTAATTGTCTCATCCACATTAAATTTTCTTCATCAACAACAGTTTATAATAGAGTAATCAAACACGAAAAATTGCTTCGATCAGAATCAATTCCCAGAATCACATTTCGTTCTCACAACTTCGAACTTTAATAGTCACCCAACAACTAATAAAAGTGTAAGAAGGAACTTCGTTCAATTTTACTGCCTCAAGCATTTACGCTTCTCACTATTTTTTGCCCTATCAGCTTGTGCGTATGTCTGCCGCAAATAAATCTTCCAGATGTACGATATACGATAACAAAAGAGCAAATCAAATGCTCATCGAGAACAATCGAAACATATTTCGTTCGGAAATGAACTAAAATCAGTTTATTCGTTCCAAAAAGTAGTCATCACAAAGAAAAATATTCGTTTTTCTTCAAAAGTCACATGTAACAACAATGAACTCATAAATAAATTGATAGAGAAATGGAAAAATGAATCAATACAAAATCAGAGCAATCAGAAATGTCTCACTCAAAATAAATATGGATATTGATCTACCTAAACAATAAATCAACAAACAACAACTCAATAAATTTACATTATCAGTTAATATGCGACAGGAATGCCAAATCCGTAGAATTAGAAATAACGACAAGGAAACTCTGTGTGAATTATTTAAAAACAATCGAAATACGTGTGTACATCAATAATGAGCCAACGAAACAATCAGTATACCACGAAAATCATCAAGGAAATCGTACATAAGTAAACAATCAAAATTTAAAAAAAAAACAACTGACAGTGTGTTCTGCACAAATGAATGAATGAGGAAAACAATAACGAAAAAATATCCATCACCTTCATTACAACGAAACAAAACAATGATACTCTTCGATCGACGATAATCATAACGATAACAATCTTCATACGACAATAACAATAATAATTTTGATCTCCAATCAATACATCAATATTCATGAAGATACTAACAATGATAATAATATTGATAATCAAAAAATACTTACAACATATCCACTCGGTTATCTCTCTCAAATGGCCGATTCTCGAAGTCTTTTGAGTCGTTGTGCCAAAGATTGTTCATCATTAGTGACACTGGCCACTGGAGACACAGCTTTTGGTTCTTCGGACGGAACCTCAGGTAACCCACTGACCACGGATTCTTTCTCCTCGATCTTCTTATCGGCTAGAATCGCGTTCAACTCAGCCTCCAGATCTGCTTCATCAACGCCATTCGTCACCGGAACTCCCGCCGAAATGGCCTCCCGTATCTCCTCGGCCGTTGCCATCGCATCACTAATACTATCCATTGTTTCATCAATCTAAAATTATAAGAATACATCATTTAAAATGAAGAATTTATTATTAGAATGTATGAATGTATCATTTCATGTATCGTTTTGTATCATTTTGGTTTCATTTAAATTTTGCATACTTTCAACAAATGTTATATAATAGAAATGAGAATACATCTCTCCTGTTCACACGATATTTAATGCAAAATGCGAAATAAACAAAAACAGTACTGATCACCTGCTCAGGTTGAATGCCTTGTCTTTGCAGAGTTGCTTTAAAGGCACTGGCTCCAGCCTTATATGCATCCATGATTTGTTTGTTCTGTTTGGTTTGTCCGAGTTGATGCATCATCTCAAGTAATCGCTGATACTGATTATCTTTTGCTTCCACTTCTTGTAAGGCACGTTTCTTTAGACGAAGATGATGCGCCGCACGAGTTTTATCGTTCGCTCGAATACTGGCACGTGCATCCTGCTCACACCTGCAGCAACATTTTAATTGAGGCGTCGAGTAATTCAACGAATAAATAAATAATGAATGCGAATTAAAATCAATTCAAAACATTCTAAATGAAAATAAAATGACAAAATTTCACCAACTTTTTCGCCCTTTCTTCCAGTCGTTTGATCTCAATTTCAAGTTTACTCATCGCGCGTCGCATATCGTGAACACTCGCATCCGATTCGGTCCATTCAATTGGTCCCCTCACCATCACATCGCGGAATTTCAGAATTTGCTCACCCGTCCTCGACACACCGATTGTCAACTCAAATGGAATTCACATAAAATGATTTTTAAAAATGAAACGATGAAAACACAATGACGAACTGTCCCTCACAACCAACACATGATGAATTCCCACAAAACAAACCTCATTTTCATGCACCAGTTCGGACAATACCAACTGAAACACCCGACCGTTGGCCACCAAATGTCTGCACTCATCCCTAAAATCTTCCAGTGCCACTATTTCCGGAGCCATATCATCGTCCGGTGCGTGACTACTTCGGTAATACTCCAGAATCTGTTTAGCCTGCTCCTAAAATGAATTCAGGCATCTACCACATTCACTTTTCAGAAATTGAATCAATGCATAAAACTTTCAAAAAATTGACAGACACAGTGAAAAGTTGAATCAAAAATGCATAAAACAGGACTTTCCATCGCTTGACTACTCTATCCTTGACGAAGTTCAGAACTTTAATAATAAAACCAGTAATGCAATAAACGAACCCGTATTGTGGGCAAATGAACGTATTCTATTTTCGCGTAATTATTGCCATTACCCCACAGAGTACTGATCACTCGTGAATATCCCCATTCAATCCAACTCTGATCACGTTCACGAAATTCCTCGATTGTCATCAGCTCGCCACATCTGTAAAGAGCAATATTTCGAGAGGTTATATCCTGTTATGTTAAATAACCGAACAACAAATCCGTTCAACAAACCGATGCATATTGTCAACGACGATATCCAAAGAGGCGGGCAGCTGATCACCTCTACGAAATCGTTTCTTCAGCATATCGATCGTGACTAGAGGATCATGTTCTGCATGGCACGATTTCGATATTGTCTCACTCCAAAATTTCACCTTCCGATCGTAGTCATATGGGTTAACTTCTCGCGCCTAAAAATCGATGAATTTGAATCATAAAGGAAAATAACATGAATTCGAAATTGAATACAGAAAATGATGTTTTGATAAAGGTGTATTTGCAAGAGATTACCTTAATCATTGACATTAAACCGGCCATTTGCATATCGTCGTACCATATTGGTGGTAAATAATTCTTACGATTCATCCCGGCTCAGTGTTGACGGGATGAAAAGCGTCTACGAAATAAAAATGTTATAATATTTCGAAAATTCCACGAAACATCAATTCGGGTGAACGATTACAAAAATATCAGCGAGAAATGTCGCGTCACTAACGTTACCACGTGGAAGTACACTCAGTTTCGATGACCTATCCACTTAATGGACATTTCAAACACATAAAAACATCCAAAAACTTATCTCCTCAATGATATGAAAAGAGGACGCTTGAAATGGAAAAAAAGTAACAAAAAAATCAAATTCTCAAACAAAATGAAATTTTGTTTAAATAGTAGCTCAATGAGAAAATATGCCAAATTATTTTGGCAAGGACAAACACTGCGAACCTCCTGATATTCGTTTCAAGGCTTATAATTTTGAAGGATGATGAAATAAATCATTGCGGAGTCAGCACACTGGGCAATATACTGCAGTTAGCATTAAACTGATTCAGTTTCACGCTAGGTTTATCAGTTATCACGTGGATATGGGAGAAACTATATGAAGTAATTACTAAAATCATATCGCAGAGGACTGAATCTTCTGATAAATCCTTAAAATTGTTGCTGAACGGAATACGAAGGAACTTTTCCTCCAGAATACAAACACAAATATCAGCTAACAGCATGACCTTTCTGTACATCATGTCCCCTTTTCACAATATCAAGTANGCTATCATTGAATTTGTTGATTACCAAAACAACACATGACTCGTCTTACTTATAATCACCTTTTATTTGATGGCATAAACAAATACCAGATTAAACATCACTAATCAAATACTTATCATTCAATAACACTAAACGTGATTTCCAATAAGGTATCCATAATTTTTTAGCAGTGATTAACATTATCACTTCAAAGCATTAACAAACCATTTATCGTGTTCATCTTATTTGCAACAACTTGTTTATCAACTCTCTTTTAGAGTGTAACGGAACAAGTTGTAATCTTGATTTGAACAAGTAAGTTGGTATTTGGACTAACAATAAGACAATCTTAGTCCAAACACTAATTTACTTGTTTGATATTGGATATTTGATATTGGATTAATCCCAGGCATTCGATCCATATTTCATCAGCATCAAATGACACCAAGTATTTGTGATCATGAGGAATTCCATTAAATTGGATTTGTCTGCTAACCATCCAAACTGTTAACATTGCCTCTGCAAAAGGGTGTTACTTGCGTCTTTAGTTCAGCAACTGAAGTGATTATTTTTATGCTATAATAATAATGGGTGAATAA